GCCCAGGCCCGGGCCCGGGCCCACTGAGCCGTCCTGGGCGCGTGGCTCCGGGGCGCTCAGGTTGCCATCGGCCGAGCTGCTTTCCCTGTCAGGCTCCATGCCTGCCCCTGTCTCTGGCACCTCATTATCCAGTTGTGTCGCTGCGCACAGCTTTGACGTGCTCTGCCCATTTTCCTGCCTTGAGATAGGAGGGGAGTCACAGGTTTCCATGGCAATCGCTACATGGGGATCTCATTTCATCCAGCCTGTCAGGGACCTGGGTAAAAAATAAGGTGAGAGAAGGCATTTTTATTAAATAATGACACCGCTCACTAATAGCCCATCACTAATTTACGGCAGCTGTAAACTTGACTATCTGCAAAGGTGAGGGGGGTGGGGGGTCGCTAAAACCAGCGCACCTATCTATCACACACAGACTTTGTGTAAATGGAGCAACATCATGTGGAGAGCGATCGCAGCCCGGCCTCCACACCCTAGGTGTTTCTGAAGTCGCCATGGGCATTCATCATAAATCTGAAATTCATATCAGTGATCCGTACTTTTTTCATTCCCCTTTCCTGAAAATGTCTATAATCGACGTAAAGGCTTTAAAAGCCCCTTGTCCGTGACAGACACGGAAATGGCTTTCACCTACGAAGGCAGGAATAAAAAGAACAATGCAAATAACTTGTAATTTTTTAATATTTACCTTTTACTTTCTCAGGGGGGATGAGTAGGGAAGGGAGACCAACCATAAAGGAACCTTAAAATGAGAAATATTACAGTCCTAGGCAGCGCCGACCACACTCTGCTCTGGCTTTCATTTTGCCAGTAAATCAGCTTACTACAAATCTTCCCTGTGCAAAAGCTCTCAGCAGGTATCTGGCTGGCCCTGATTAAGCACCAATCACAATTCTTCCCCACACTTCAGTCACCTCAATGGGCAGCAGAACAGAAATTAATATTTACTGCAGCCAGGCCTATCATCCTAGGGGACGATCACATTCACTCCTTTTTTTTTTCCCCCACTGCAATACGTAATGAACACCATTTCAAATACCATTTTGATGTTATCAATCCTGGTGAGTTGCCCATCTCTCAACTATTGCCTCAATCAGCATCTCCCCTGGCTTAACAAATCATACGCAAGCACGACTGATGAAAATCCTTCCATCATTTTTTTAGATTTAATTTTTCAGTGTTTTTTTTTTCAGCCAGGCATCTTAGACCATAAACTCCCTTTGTTGAGAGCAAGATGCACCCTCTGTAAAGCCATCTCAGGTTCCGGCAGCAGGGTCAGGTAGCAGGGGAAAATGGAGTATGTATTGGTAGCAATGCATGCCCTTCTGTGTGTGAGTGTGTATGCGTGTGTGCGCGTGTGTGCCCACATGCGTGTGTGTATGTGCCCACCTGTGTGTTTGTGCCCACAAACCTCAGCTACTGTAATAGCAACTCAATTACAGTTTAAGCTTCTGAGTCTTGCAGCTCTCTGGGTTTGCAGGATGATGGCACTGTACACACCATTGAGTGGGCTGAAACTTTTGTGTTTATTTTCAGCCTAGGACACAGACATGGTCTCGATTTTATGAAGCAGCTAAGCAATTTTCTCTCAAATCTTACAATCTGAGGGACTCATAACTTCAAGGCAACTAGCCCCTTAAATGTAAAAGTATCAACACTTTCAAGGTCGCTGATAATTTTTGATATAAGAAAGCTTGACGTTGCTATATTCCATTACCTGTCATATTGGGTAGGATAGACATGCAATGTCTCACCCTGGATGCCCCTGCATTTATTGCAGACTTCACAGTGGCAGAAGGCCGTGAAAACAAAACTCTGGGCTCACCAATATTACTAAGCATTTTAGAAATTCCTTTTGAAAAGTTCTTCTGGAAGAAAGACCTCATTGAAGGTCACTGGCATATTAAGTATGAAGAATCACTTCTTAATACTCTCTTGACTGTAATCAAATTTAATCTTGTCAGCTAAATCAGAGAGGAAGTGATCAGTGTAGAATACATCAAAAGATCTGCAGAGATTGGAAATGAAATCAAAATTCGTTTTGGTATCTGCCATGGTTAAAATGACATTCTAATTGCTCACCAATCAAACATCATAAAGCTTAGTGTGTAATTTTAATCATCGATGAGCTGCAGGTTAATTATCTTCATGGCATGCCTGCAGCTTTTAAAACCCTCTGAAATAATCTGATAACCATAAGCATGAAAACCTAATAATTTTCTAATTAGTCCACAAACGTTAATGTTTACCTTTGCATTCACCAAATAGGCACAAACAACGTATATACGCACCAAAGGCAGCCAAAATGCCTACACCATAACCCCCTGCTAGACTGGAAGAGATGAGGAAGGCAGGAAGGGGCTAATCTGGAGTGGGAGCACCGTGGTGGATCACACTCCGTTAGTGATCCTGGGTTAGCATGTAAAGGACCCAGGGTTGTTGTTTTGTTTATTCTTTCCTATGAAAGATAGTTTAGGCCACTACGTGGAAGGAGATTCACCTTAATCACAAAAGTAAGAAAAGCTCCCAAACACTTTATAGCTTGTGAAGGAGTTTCTGAGCTTTTATTATTATTTGAGTTACTTTGCTTATAACCCTACAACAGCTCTCAGCCCACAAGAGCACTTGCTGGAATTATGACATGCATGATGAAGACACCTGGAATAGGTGTCTGTAACGTGCAGTTAATAGTCTTGACCAGATGCCGAATGGACTCTGCAATGTAGCGTCTCAGTACTGCTCTATATGAATCAGAACCTATTTATTCTACCGGAAGTAACTTCTAAAAATGGGACAACATTGTTGCCATGTGAAAAAAAATTATGAAAACTACCCTACAGAATCCATCACAGGTCAAAGCAAATGGTAGGATTGATTTTGTTACAAAATTCCTACATCATTTTACACCAAATTGCCTATCAATTTCTTCTCAATAAGGTACACATTAATCAGAAGCTAAGTCAAATCCTGTCTTCCATACAATCAAACTTACATTTCATTCCAAAAGCAACAATGACAAACCTATCTGAATTGATGGTAAGTAATAGATTACCTGATTTTTAAATTCGTAGCTATTGACTATGACCATGGCAATGTTTACCTGTGCATTTTGATGGAATCACTTTAGTTTGTGCAGTTAAAACATTAGTTACATCTACATGTACCAATATTGTACATATTAAATATGATGCCCAGTGATTTCACTGTCATCACTGTCAGAGAAGACCTTTCTTTTATCAGTGTGACCCATATAGGAAATTTACACTAAACTTTTATAAGTCCCAGTAAAAAGACCACAAAGACAGCCATTTAACTTAAACCACAGAATTCATTCCAAAATGACTGCGTAACAAGTAAACTCACTATAAAGGTTGCTTCACCATTTAAGCTGGTCTCTATTTGGTCTCCACCAATTTCTATTCTCTATTGCCAAACATTCTATCTTTAAAAATCACCGAAGTCTTCAAGAAATCCCCACCCCCCCCCAAAAAAAAACCCTAATACAATTTCAATGCTAAATTCAGAACAATACGTACCTGCTGGTCTGCTTAGAATATGTGTACACATTTTGGGGGTATTCTCAGTAATTCACAAGATCGGTGACTTTGATCATGTAAATCCCCTTTTTGGAACTAATGGACAATATGCAGAAAAGAACTTCTACAGCTCGTTCTGCCTGGCTTTCGTCCTGCGGCCTCAACTCTGCTCTGCCAAATGACCGAACCCACCTACCAGGAGCTGGCTGATGAAAGGGGTGCTTGCTGAACAATAGGAGAATTCCCCTGCACTCAGGAAGCAGCGTTCCCATTGGAACCCCAAATTGGAGAGGCCAGTGTTACCTCTGCTTTTTAACTGAGATTGTCCCAGCCCTCCTCTCCGGTCCAGGGAGACAGTGTTTGTGAAATGACGAAAAAGAACGTGATCTGGTGCGGAGGCCTGAATAATGGGAAAGGAATGCTAGTTAGCCACTCTGCAAAGTGCTGGGAAAAGAGACAAGGGCCCCTCCGCCTATTGTTTTTATTCTCATCTGCTCCTGAGCCCTCTCCTAACACTTGGAGTCTGCATGGACTCCCTTTGAAATGGGTTAAAAGCTGTCCACGTAGAAGAGAATTTGGTAACAAGTTCTAAAAAAAAAGAAAGAAAGAAAAAGAAAAAGAAAAATAAATAAAAATCCTTGAATTATATCAAGTTTCCAAAAGGTCATCACTGTCTCTGCTGTGGCCTTTTCCCCAGTCCAAATCCTCTATCAATATGTCATAGTGAGTTAGGCAAAGACAAAAGGGAGGTGCGGTGTGAAAACGGCACATATATCTAATCCTGACAAAGCACTGAATAGCCTTCACAAGTATAATTATACTTGTTTATTTGTTGCCATGTACAGAGGACTGATGAAAAAAAATCCATCAAAGTGGTATTATGCAGACACACTGAGGCTTAAATTCCTTATTGTTAAATTCAGAGGGAAGGGAAAAAAAAAAGATTTGGGGCTGGACTTTTTTTTTTTTGCATCAGCTGCTGACAGATCTTTTATGTACTAGGCGGTATTAGCTCACACCGCTACCTCATTTCTGCCCATGTTGGAATTCATAATTATAAACTACTGTACAGAAGCTTTTAAAAGGGTGTGGCGTGCTGACCACGGGAGGAAGGCCCGTTCTCACAGCCTCCCTTTTGATATATCAAAACACAGGTAAAGTTACGTCAGGATCCAGCTTTGATCTCGGTCTTTAAAGTTGGGGCTGGTGGTTTCCTGTAGCGAGCTTTCTCTGCAATTTGCTCAGTTTAGTATATGTCCAGTATTTCATCCACGAGTGCGTAACTTCTTTCCCACTGCAGCATTAGAAACCTTCGCACGAAGAAAAACAACTCCTAGAATGTCCAAGGATTGAAAATATGAAGAAAAAGATTTCAAGCCCAAGGATCAAGGCTCCATTATGTTCCAATCGTCACTAGGTCAAATAACTTCACAAAAGCACATTTTTAGAGGGGGTTGGGGGAGTCACATAAGCCCCCCCCCCCTTTTCGGGATAGAAATATATCAAAGTACATGCACTGTGCATAGTTAATGTTTGTGAGCTTTACAATTTAAAACAGAAAAGCTGTAATTTTTCTTTGCTGGCAATCTGGAAACACTCTGGAGTTAATTACAGCTGATTCGGAGTGAACCACACAAACAAAGACCAGTCTATTCCAGACAAT